GTCATATTCGACAACTTCCGCAGTACTCACCTCACCTTTTCCCACCTTATCTACCTTCGTTTTTTAAACACTCTTCTGTTCCCCCTCCCCTCCATCTCGCCTTTTTTTCACTTCGATGTTCCTCGCCCTCTGTGAAGCCTGATTTCTACTAAGGGGCTAATGACAACCATCAAAACGCCGTGTCCGGATGAAGCAGAAACCACGAACTTACGTATTTTGTTATCGTCAGAGCACTCAAGGCAGGAATTTTTATCACTCAAGTAGGTTGCACCATAACTCAACTTTCCTTATCTCCTCCTTGTCATTTTAATTCAATAATGATCTATTTCAGTGAAGTTCTATCTTTTTTTCAGTTTCAGAGCAAAAATGCATGACTTTTAATACCTTATTGAACCTATTCCGATTTACTTTAAGCATTTCAACCTTTTTGCACTCTCATTAGGTTACAGCTGTTGCCAAATTGAAATATTTAGCCGAACCTATCAAAGAGCAATCTCACCCAGGCTCTCACCCAAACAGCTCAATTTGCTATTTTAACGTTTCCTTTAGAAAATTCATCAAGGGCATTGTTTTAAGGCAAATTATATAAAAACTTTTAAATTTCACTCACATTTAAAATTATTTGACTGGGGGGGGGGTTAGATGCACGTTTCTGACAGATGAATTAACCGTATTCTAAGATTCTGCCTTGACGTCACTTTTGCCATGAGATGACACTTACTGGTCCGTCAAGATCTAAGAGGGTATTTTTTCACTAATGATGAAATATTAGCATTTTTGGATTGCATGACATGTAATTAAAAAGTATTGTTGACAATCTTGACCTAAATAAAATTGATCAAATGTTAAATCCTGACTCATTTCATTTATTATCAATAGTTTATGTGTCAGATAAATAGTTTCTGATGATGATATGTCATTCTATTTCAATATATGTGCAATTGCTTACTAAGATAGCACACCTTGTGATTAATGAATGCCTCATATATGGAATGGAGGCGTGAAATAACCTCAAGCTAACTATGTTCCAATTTCGAGACTTGTATCCCTTTTTAGAGCATTCAATGATCTAATCTGTCTGTTAAACAATAGGGGGATTTTAATTATAAAAAGATTCAGTTAAATTTTGAATTACAGCGGTGAAAATAGCTAGAAAACATCAGTTCATTTATTTCAATATATATGAGAACAGTGCCTCATTATAGATGAATTATAACAGTGTACTCTGGTATTTGTTTGACGTGATGGAGTGAGTAAAGGATCCCTGTACTCACTTTGTGCAGACTTCGGGCAACATTTATTTATAATATTTATCATTAGACCATTAGTTGACTTTGGGCTTCACAGAGGGGAGGAGCATCAAAATCGCAGAAAGTGAAGAGGGGAAACTGAAGAGTGATTCAACGATGTGAGAGACAGACACGGAGGTAGTGGAAAAGGTAAGGTGTGGACTGTGGAATGGTAGAATATGACATATTATCGGGTCATGTTGTTTGAAGTGAGAATTCAACTGCCGATTAATAGACTTTTGCCATATGAGTATACGTTGCCCGTGGAGGTGTTGTCTATCGCACACCCCATTCAGGCAACATTAAACGGATGAATTTTGACTATTGGCTACTAGTTAAGGGCAGTAACATGGGGAAATTTGTGAACAGAAGAGTGATTTAAAGATGTAAAAGAAAAAGACACAAGGTAGAGTGTAGGGTAAGGTGAGTACTGTGAAAGTGGTTGAATATGACACACAGTCGGGTCATGGTAGTTTGAAGACAAAAAATATAGCTGATCTTCACATAATTTCTAAGTGAGATTTCTAAAAATAGTGATTTTTGAATGTTCTCGAAAGTAGACTCATTTTTGAAAGAATTGGGTAAAGCTGAAATAGTTACTTCGTAATGAAAAAGTATATTTAATAAGCATATCACATATTCCTGACTTGCACAATTCACTACTCAGCCAATGAACGCTTGTCAATAGAGCTAACCAATGAGGTTTAAGGCTGAGTTGATATATAATATCTATCACGCCGTAATAGTAAGAAAGTGAATTAATCAAGTTTACGATGCATAAACCTTTGGTCGAGTTATTTATAAAGGCATCTAGTGTTGACCCAGGGGACAAGGGAGCATGCCCATTCTCTCAGAAATGGTTCATGATATTCTACCTCTTTGTTGAACGCAAGGCCATTAATCTACGCGTTATCCCTGTTTCGTCAGCCAATCCTCCAACAGAGTACCTCAGCTTGGATATGGGCAAACAACTACCAGCAGTGGCATTCTACACTGAGGGAAACGATGATTTAGATGTCGGTTCTGTTCAACCGGAGTCCGTACACACAGGAAACGATGAATTAGAGCTATTCTGCAAGCAGAGATTCGCTTCTCAAATAAATATTGATGTGACTGAGCAGTGGGTTGGAGCTGACCTTCTAAGAAGTCTCAACCATTTCCTTCGAACCGGTTCCGATCAACAGATGTTGGCTAATCTTACGGCAATTAACGATCATTTACTAAATGTGAGTTATGGTTATTACTTTACATAATTTGTTAGATTTAGCAGTAATCAGATAGTATAATTTAGAGATCATATTTTTAACTTCCAATACCTTTATCCAATAATGCTAATTTTGCGTTGCCATAGTCTGTGAGTTTAAAGTATATTTAAACTTATGCTTTTTATATTTAGGCCCGTACAACATTTTTGGAGGGAAATGATGTCTCCTATTCAGATTGTGTCCTTTCCTGTAAACTCCACCATGTTCGCGTTGCTGCATCCTTCTTCCGAGGATTCACCATTCCTGAGGACCTTCAGTATGTTTGGTCCTATCTAAAGGCCATTTATTCAACCAGAGTGTTCGACGTATCCTGTCCCCTAGATCGGGATATCTTATTGCATTACCTTGAGAAGGTTGAATTTACCAGCCAGGAGGCAAGAAATCAAGCTCACCATGAAATTATCATCCTACCACAAGAGAGGAAAACTACATTTATTTCAGCTAATGGCCCAAATGCAGTCAATGGTGTGCCCCGATTAAGGAGTTCGGGTGTGAAGTTAACTGTAAATAAAGTAATGCCAGCAATGGAATATGACAAATCTGTCGGAGATCGATTAAGCAAATTTTACGGTATGGCACTGGAGAAAACTTAGTGTGTCAGTAGAGCAATTGCATAATGATTACCATTCCTCCCTCCCCCCCCCCCTCATATCTTTCCCTCTTTGACCTTGTAAAGCACTCTCGCATCCATAATTGCACCTCCATTCACATATTCAGGAAATCACATGTGTTCATATTTTGCACCCAAGATGTGTGTTTATTGTCGTTGCTAAGACGATAATGGTTGTCTGTCATTTCTTACTTTTAAAGTGGTTTTGTGTTTGGATATTGGAAAAATACATTACCATGGTTTTACTTGTTCGTTTTGTTGTTTTGGGAAATAACGTTATTATGATTCTTTTATAGCAATTTTATTAACATATCAAGAAATTAATCAAATTTATAAGAATAGATAAATGAAATCAAATATTGGAATTCTAATGTTAAGGGTATTAAATGTATCCTATATCAGTAGGAATGTTGATATTCTTCTTGTGCGAAAGATCTCTTGGGGTGAATCCCAGTTAGCTGAGGTTGTGAGAAGAGATGTGATACGTGGCTTCTGATCCACTCAAAGAGTTTCTTTAGATTGAGATTATTATTCTCAAACTATTGAAATTTTTACTATTGAAAGTATCTGCGCCATGTTAAAGTAGGTAAATTCATTTATACTTTGTTATCTCCATATATTTAATACCAGAAATAAAATTCCTAATTGGAGTATATTTAAGAGAGCGTTGGGGTGCCGTTGAGGTGGTGATCGTTCTTGGGAAGGAACCATCAGATGAGGAGAGCGATGTGAAGAACAATCGCGTCGCCGATGAGAGATCGAGTCTTTGTTGAGCGGAAGTCAGGATCTGACTTGTTGTGGGTAACGGCAGCGGATGTAAGGTGATGATTATTCGAGCAGAAAGGCATCACCCAGTAAATTGAGGGAAGAGGAGAGATTGGTTCTCTGCTGAGCGATTGAAGTCAGACTTTGGTAATCACGCCAGGGTCACCAATTTGTAGCGGATTGTTACCTAAGTAAAGCCTAACCGACTCAGAAATCTCTATGTCAGATTCTCCAACATCTATCTAGACTCCCAGAACCAGCTAAGCCATGGCCCAGCTATAAAGGAAACAGACGTGTAGAACGGAGCACGTTTATTTAGTACGTATATTGCGGATAAAGCGTACAGGCAGGGAGCTTAATCATGATCAGGATGGGGGTTTAGGTTAAACAAACAGAGATTAATGATTAGCCACTGTTTGTACCGTCGCGCCTCCCAATCCTGGCGTGCGGGCATGAGATGACGTGCCCCACAAATACAAATTTGGAAATCGTTGTGGCTAAGTTTTTATGAAATTTACTAATATAATGGTGACAGTGATAATAAATTGAATATTTAATTATATTATTTACTGAATATATTGATGAGGTAAAGGAATATCTGTACTTAGTAGATCAATGGAAAAGTTAAGTCATGCTGGCTGCCTCTTTTACTCTCTTTCCAAATTACTTTGAAGTCGGATACTATTTCATCATTAAAATTAGGAAAAAACATGATTTACAGGAGCAAGGCTAATAGAAAGAGACGCTTAATCCAGCAATCTGACTTAATTTAATATCAAACTCACCTTGACATTCACTTAATCCACATCTTCACTGCTTAATTCCCAGGATTTAGTGCGTTGTTTGCAATTTTAATATTACCACGGGTGTAACTCAAATTACTAATTGAATAAGACTTTTGAGAGCTTGTCGATTGTGACTAAATTAATAGTCAACTTAAAGAGTGATAATATTTTAGCGTGTGGAAATTCTCTCCTTTTTTATCTCTTTCAACTGAAGGTCTTTTGTTCTTTCGTTTTCTTGAAAATTTACATCGAATTTATCGACATTTTGTACTAATTCACAAAATATTTTTACCTTATACGCCAAGTAGTATTATGGAATAGTTATCTTAATGAAAAGTCAAAATATTATCAAAATTTACTTAACTTTATGAGAAAAAACAGGTTTTTTTTACATATTCACAATTGCTCAAAAACATCGGTTGTTTGAAACTACATCTTGGCTAATTTTGGCAATCCAAAATAAAATGAAAAGTTGGACACGAATGCATAGATGAGCATTTGCTTTAATCTCCTTTTCAACAGGTTGCAAGAACATGACTTAACTCCGGCATCAATGATCTCGATTCCCGAAACTTGAATTAATTGTTTATTTTGGTCTGTGGGACACGTCATCGCATGCCTGCACGCCAGGACCAATCATTAATCTCTATTTGTTTAACCTAATCCCCCATCCTGATCACGATTAAGCTTCCTGCGTGTACACTTGATCCGCAATATACGTCCTGAATAAACGTGCTCCATGCTGCACGTCTGTTTCCTTTATACCTGGGCTATAGCTTAGCTGGTTCTGGAAGTCTAGCTAGATGTAGGAGGATCTGCCATAGAGATTTCTGAGTCAGTCATGCTTTACTAAGGTAGCAATCCGCCACAGGTCCAGCAGGTCCGTTAGTTTTTGTTTGCATTTTCTTGCGACTAAAGTAGAATTGAGTAGAAGTGAATGTGAAATACTGAGAATTCTAATAGAGAAGCTTGTAATTTACAGCCTCATAAGTTTGAACTTTCGCTCGTATTTCTGATAAACGTTGATTAGACTTGTGCAGATTTTTATTCAGGCATGAGCAAGAATAGTGGGTGGG